ACAGTTTTGATATCAGTACATTCACAGAATCTACATCAGCAGATCAAGAGTCTATGTTTTCTCCTCATATAGGTATGTGTATGACCTTATGGTATCATAAGGCTATTTTCCATGCTCACTCAATGATTTTCATTATTATGTTTACCTATTTTTATGTTGGAATAGGGATAACAAAAAAATAGTTCAGGAAACTGAATTGACAAGGATTTTTTACACATCAAACTATTCTCTGATGTATCAAGATACATATGTATACAGTACTCAACATGCTTCTGTGATTATTAACTGTCTTCATGTACTAATGTTGTATATATTATGTATGCAGTATTGATATGTATAATATTAACCATGCTCAATGGAAATGTACTCTAATGATTCCTTAACTTTTAAGCTCATGTAGATGTATTTGTGTGTTTGCAGATATCCATGATGCATGTTTAAAAAAAATCACAGAGTTAAAGTTGGAGAACAAGCAACTTCAACAAGAACTGGCAAGGTTGCAGACAGAAAGAGATGATCTTGGAAACACCATCAATCAAGTCAAATTTGGAGTGAAGACTATTGAAAACAATGACAGTCGTGTTTCATTCTTCACTGGTTTACCATCATTTGCTGTGTTTTCATGGTTACTTACTTTTCTTGTGTCTGTACTTCCAAAATCACAGTGTTTAGATCCAGGAAATGTACTGTTATTGATTTTAATGAAACTCAAGGTGAATCTGTTTAATCAAGACCTAGCTGTGAGATTTTTTGTGTCAGAAGCACATGTGTCAGATCTTCTTAATAAAGGACTCCCAACTTTAGCTACGCATCTCCGTTTTCTGATACAGTGGCCTGGGAAAGAGGAAATAATTTGTTCTACTCCAACAGTTGTGAAACAACTATTTAAAAACTGCAGGTGTATAATAGATTGTACTGAAATCTATATTGAGCGTCCAGGGAACTTGACAGCCCGTGCGACTACTTGGTCAAATTATAAACAAAACAATACACTTTAAGTTTTTGATAGGGATCAATCCATCAGGCTGTATAACATTTTTATCAAAAGCCTTTGGGGGCAGGACATCCGATAAGGTAGTTACACAAAGATCAAGATTCTTAGATTTGATAGAAAATGGGGATGTTATTTTGGCAGACCGAGGATTCTTAATCAGTGAGGATCTTGCCTCTCGAAATGCAACTTTGGCAATTCCTGCTTTCACAAAGGGAAAACTACAACTGAGCCAGAAAGATGTTGAGATGACAAGAAAAATTGCTAGAGTAAGAATTCATGTGGAGCGTGCAATTGGACGCTTTAAAATGTTTCGCATTTTGAGTGGAGTCATGCCAATAGCTTTAGTTCCCCATTGTGACTCAGTATCTGTGATATGTGCTGCATTGTGCAACTTGCATCCAAGTTTAGTTAACAATTAACTGTGTCTCATGACATAAAGAAAACAAGACCATCTGTTATGTAACTAAAAGAAAACAATAAGGCTGAAGTGTAGACATGGTGTATGTATATATTTTTGCAATAAATTATTGAGATAAATACATGTATGATATACATTGTATTGTCAGAGAAATAAACATATAACTGAGCATTGCTTATGTCTTTCAAAATCTGGACAATAATTTTTGTTAAGGTACTTATAAAATAATGTCCATCCAGTTATATTACTATATTTCACACATTT